TTCTCATCAAAAAAAGCAGATATTCTGAAAGTATTTAGGAGAATGCCTTTTGTGGTTGTTGCTGTTGCAACAAGGACTTGCTCTCAAAATCTAGTTTACGTCATAACTTTGAAACTTTCAGTGCTAGGCAAGGGATGGAGAGATTCCTCAACCACCAGTCATACAGAAATCCAAGTCTGAAATGCTTGAGACAGTCCCCCCACCTTGACAATCAGTAAAATGGAGACAGATCTCCTACAATTGCACAAATGAGTGCCCCCGGCTGAATTTCCTGTCCCCAAATCCCTATTTCCCCAGAAGAAAATTCAAACCACATTCCTAGTCCTTAAAGCTGGGCCTGAAAGATCATCAGGAGAGCTTGAGCGAGGACGAATGGTTCCTTTGACCCTCCTGTTGATCTGCAGGAGCCAAACAAAACAGAACATCCCCGCTCGGAAGGCCCCATATTGGGACGGTTCAACTTTGGGGACTGGACAAAGGTGGTGGTCCTCGTTGTCCCCCGGTTCAAAGAAGCACCGAAGATACGCAGCTTCACATTTATTGACGCAAAGAATCAGAAGTGTCTCTAAAAAAAAAAGGAGATGACAGAGAAAAAGAATCTGGCCGTCAGAAAATATTTTAGAGAGATCAAAGGGTTTTCGGTCCATGTCCCTCTGTTCCCAGGGCATCGGATTCTTCCTGCGCCAGCTTCACTTATCACCCCACGCCACTCGGCTCTGACGTGTTATATACAAAACGAGGGCCGCCCTCTTTGAAGTGCCGGATTAGCCCGGGCCTGATTCTTACTCCAGAATAACAAACAATACAGGTTCAAGAGGAGTTCTCAGTTGCTAGTTCATTTGTCAGCCCCAAATTCATTTTCAGCACACACAAGCACCCTTGAACTCATGGTCCGCGGACAGATCGAAGAGATTTATCTGGAGCTGGGCGATTACGTGGATGGATCATTTTTAAATTTGGAGACATCTATATACAGGGAGGGAGAGCCAGCAAGCACAAGACAGACAATCTCATTTACTTTTTATTTAAACCATTCTCTTTCTCGCGCCAGCTTTTCTTTAAACTCTTTGCTCTCCTCCCCCCCACCCCAAAAAGATGGCTAAGCTCTGCTGTCAGATTTAAAGACCAAATTCTGATCTTTTCCTCTTGGACAAAAGCAGTCGTTGACTTTTCTCGGCTTCCCAACCAGACCTCCAAATTGAGCCTCCCACCCACCCACCCACCCCCCGCTAAAAAACACCCCTCTCTCTCCAGCTGAGAATACCCGAAGCATAACAGAGCTAAAATTAGATTCCCACTTAGCCGAAGGTAAATCTTCAAGAGGACTTTATAAATCCTGCAGAAGTGGGGGCATGGCGAATGACACCACTCCGCTTCATAACCTATATAATCGCTCCCATAAAAGACAGAGCTGGCGTTACCCAGGAGAGTGAAGGATGGTCTTCTAAGCAAACTGTCTCGAGGGACGTTGGCCGCGAGAAGAAAAAAGGAAAGGACCATCTCGACTCCCACGATATGTGTATACCGATATAAATATTAAGCACATGCTTCCTACTGCAGCACAGATTTAGCTGTGGCGCCAGGATTTTTTTTTAAAAAAAATTTCTGCTGTTCTTTTACTGTTTGCATATTATTGTTTTTATCCTGGGGTGGTGAGCCACCCAGAGTTTGGTTGGAGATGGAGGGGGCCTGGAAACGTTTTAAATGAATAAATAAACGGGCAGTTTTCACCGTGTGGATTTCATCGTCCGAAAAGACAAGGAACGTGGTGACTTAAGAGGAGGAGTGATGAGCCAGCCAACCTGAGACAGTTCGGGTGATGGGTTGAAGCGCTGGGGTTTGCGCACCAAAATTCTCAGATTCAGTCCTTGCCCTCTATGATTACAAATAAATATTAGCGGGCTTATATTGAACACTTATTGCTCTCTTACATGAGTAGAATGTAAGAGAGCAGTAAGTAGTAGCAAAAAGCTATTAATATCTTTATTAGATTTATATCCACTTCTATTTTGTACAACTTGAGATGGAGTACATAATGCTCCCTTGTCCTATTTTACCCATAGCAACAACCCTGTGAGGTGGGTTGAGATAAGAAATCAGCCATAGTTTCCCAACCAGCTTTCATGCATAATGGAAGACTAGAGCTTAACCACCTTAACCGTTACACCAAACTGGTTTTCTCTTCCTTCTTTTTGAACACATTATAATCTTTAATTATATATAATTGTAATTTAATTACATACGATAATTAAATAATTTAATGTATACATTAAAATTGGGTAGGTAAACTATTGTTTCTTCTCTACATACCCTCCATCTACAACAGGCAATTATTCACATTGGTCTCCTGCATTGGGTTGTTGCAAGGAATCATGAGAGAACATACACAAGATGCTTATTAACTCCTTATCAATTGCTACTGATGCAGCCATCAAGACAGTTAAGCCTAGATTGCCTTCCTTTCATTCATTGGTCTAGCTTCTAGCTTTCTTTTAAGATCAAGCTTGTATCATCACATCTGATAGCAGCAAATCTGATAGAGAATGCCCTATCCATTTACACCTAAAGGTGTCTGCAGGAGGGGGGGAGGGCAGTGAAAATCTGCATGGGGTTCACTAGCTTTGACCTGCCATCTTGCAGATCTATACCCCAAGACGCCCCTGTTCATGCCGTTCCCTTTCAAGGTAAGCAACATTATGCAAGATGCAGAAAAAAGAGAGTAAAAGTAGTTTTAAAAAAAGAGATTGAAAGCAGGAAAGATGAAAAATAAAACAAAATATGGCTAAAATTAGTGTACACCAACACAATTCATTATTCCTCTACCTGTTCCGTTCTAACTTTTCAAATCATCCTTGTTTCCTCCACATCTATACTCAGCTTCTTATCTTGCTTTTTGTCCCTTAAACCTCTCACCTCTCCCTGAGGAACTCATCAACTCTGTCCAACCATACAGTAATTTCCCCCATTTTCACCTTCCTCTCAACCCATTCCCTCTTCTTTCAGATATGTAGCTATAAATTGCAGTGCCCACCTATCGGCTTGTTTTTGTTCCCAGTATGAATGTACTTCATCCTACAACAACTGCTTGTGGAAAATCTCACAGGCCAGAAAGACAGGATGGGACAATCCTGCATTGAAAGGTAAGGTTTAGCCAGTCTGTTTTAACTAGAGTTAGTCTTGCCAATGAGCAAAGTCATCCTAGCTTATTTTCTTTATGCCTTCTGCCTGGATCAAAAAACACAAAACAAGCCCATAATAAAACAGGATTCTAGGTTCAATCCTGAAAAACAACAGTGAAAGCAATCCGGGGTCTGTAAACCAATAACAAACCACAGTTTCAAGTAATGGCTTCTTGCCGAAGAACTCAGACCACATTAAGCCAAAAGCAGATCAGAGGATGGTTCAACATAATGTGCAAAGTCTGATAGGTTGATATTTAATCATGAAACTTTATTGATTCCCTCCATATGTGCAAAAGGTTGGGTTTAGGTGCTAAACAACATATGTGCAATGACTTGAAGTAATAAGTATTAATTAATTAATAAGTTATAAGTATTGAATGACTTGAAGTAGTAGTAGTAGCAGTAGTAGTAATAATAATAATAATAATTATTGTTGTTGTTATTATTATTATTATTATTATTATTATTATTATTCAATGTCCTCTTTCACACATTGACCAGGTAAATGTCTCCAAGAAGCCTGGAGGTTTGGAGGCTTAATCTAATGCATGTTTCCCAAATAAATAAATAAATATTTTCAAAAAGCCACTCTGCATGCCAAGATAAAGTCATAATAAAATCCTGGAACTAGAAAAGTGCATAGATTTATGCCCTGAAACATTCGCAGCCTTGTATACTTCTACTCTCTGTCTTTTATCCACAAAGGAGTCAACCCATTTTATGCAAAGTTCAGGGAACTCAGTTAATATAAACTTTTCCTTTTTTTTCAAATCTTTTGATGATCTTAATATGAAATAATCTCTCTGGTTCCCCCCTCCTTTAACTAAAACAGCCCAACATTGGAAAGATAGTGAGAGCATTTTAGAGATGTTTCCACTTTATAAATCACGCATTCTTGGCAAAAGCACCCTGCCTATTGTAGCAGGTTCTGCTTTTTTCACCAGGGCTAAAAGGGATAATGAACCGGTAAGTAGATGTTAGTAATAAATCCTTGGTAATTTATAGGCCTGCTCTCCTCTTGCCTTGTTCAAATAGAAGAAAAGAATAGCATGCTTTGAAAATGATGGTTAGTTGGCCAATGGTTGCTGGAACAGACTTTTATGCACAAGGAGACCTCCCTTCCATCACACCACAGTCTTTTAAACCAGCCAAGCTTGGTCTTCTTCAACCCTGCCGCAAGTCACGTAATAGAAAACAAGGGCACAGCCTTTCCCAAGAAGGCTCCTTATTTCTTGCCTCATCTTCCTGATAAAATTCCATCACTGTTTTTGCTTTCTTCAGAAAGGCCAGGCTTGCAAATGGCAAAGGGTTGTCATCCTTGATGGGCCAACTCCCTTCTTTGGAAGTGAAATCAGGAACAGGAACCACATCTTTCTTAGGATCAACATATGGGGCATGAACACGAAAGCACGGGCTTCCCATGGTGATTCATTTGCAAAAGGTGGACCCTGCAGCTGCTGGGACATATCTGGGAACCTTGGCCCTGTATAATTGTTGAATAATTCATGCAAAGAATTCTAACGTTCTCAGTTTTTCAAATTGGTGGAGGGCGGTTTCTCCCTCTACCTTCAGGGAATGATCATTAGCAGAAGAAGAATTAGCAAAGGAAACAAAATTTTCAGCCGGGAAAAGTGGGATGGTGATTCTGTTGAACCCAAGTTTCTTCCAAGGAATTCAGAAAAGCATTTATGCCTCCCCTTTGCACCCCCACCACCATCCCGTGAAGTAGGGTTGAGGGTAACAAGATGTGCTAAATAAAAGCTTGAAATGTTTTTTTTTTTCTTTTTCTAGAAACAATTGTTCCAAATGCAAGCTTACCTCCCGGCTTTAGTTATGATCATCTCAGTCCCAGCTTCGTGAAACTTCTTCCATAGCTCTTTTTCATGCAAATACACCTTGATGTTCTCGATGGTCTTCCAACAACAAAGAACAAAAGTGAAAAGTGAGATAGTCACTGGAATGTAGAAGAAGGGAGTTATCACCTCCCCTCTAACTCGAAGAGTGAGGCTTCCTAACAGGCTTCGGCAGAAAAAAGCCATAATTATTCAGCATTGACCAATCTGTGCCCACTTGGTACCCAGCCAACATCTTCCCCGTCTGCACCTCATGGCAACAAACAACCCCGGGCAAATTCCTGTTTCTGCTGGTCCCCACAACGTTGCCATCACCAAGTCACCAGCGTATTGATGAAACAATCTCTGATGTTAAAATCAGTTTTTTCCCATTTATTCCAACACCTTCCAAGGGCATCCACAAGCAGGGGTGTCCACAGAAGGGGTCAAAAAATTCAAGATGGCGGTCACCAGCACACTACCCCTGCTCCTTTTGTACATGCAACATAAAAAGGCTTTTCCGCCTTACTCTAATCAGCTGTCAATCATCTGGGCAAACAGAAGAAGAAACTGATTTTCAATGCCTGGGTATAATTCTAATTACTTAAATGCACGTTGTATTTCTAAGAGAACTTATTTTTGTTTCTGTTTTTTCCTAGTTCCTATGGCAAGAGAAGGTTCCCTAATTTCCCATCTTAGCTATCTGATTATATAAGTCTGACACAGCACTTTGTTTTTTTAAAAATAGAGACTGAACAGTTTTAGCCAATCAACAGGCAGAGTGGATATGCAGGCTAATATACAGTCATCTCTCCTTTATTCTATTACATACAGTATATGATTATATCTAATAATTGTATAAAAATGACAGGATCTATAAGATATTTAACATACAACATTGCATATATATTGCAATTTATATTATTTGGTAGATAAATCTATTGTGCAGCCAGCAACTGGATTTCTTCTGCATGATTAACAGATCATCCAGTCCAATGTTGGTTTTGTTTCCTGTTGTTAAAGCTAGACAAATCCAGCATGAAGCAAAATCCTAGTCACTGATTCCTTTCAAAGTTCAACTGAGAATTTAATTTTCTCCTTTTGCACGCAAAGGCAGGATCAGACAGCTTCCGATGGTTTGAAAGTCCAATCACGTTTTGCTCTGCAAATTCAGCCAGACTGATAACTCGGCAAAATTGGGGTCAGTGGTGGGAGGGGAGCAGGGTTCAATGGCTCCCTCAAATTCCAAAGAATTGAAAAAAAAAAAAAAAGGGGGTGGCCTCTGGCTACTCTGACGGGATCATAAGGCATGAAAGAGATGTTGATTGGTCATATGAGACCCCCAGATTGCCCCTCTGTGCTAGAATCAGTTGAGGGATGGGTGATGGAGCAGTCTTCGCCTCTCGTGTGAGTCTGTTAGACTTTGATGGATTTACAACTCCCAGAATTCCTAGCAGGCATGTGAGCTGAGAGTCCTGGGAATGGTAATCCCAGCACATTTGAAGGTGTCAGGCTGGAGAAGTTTGGATTAGGGCATCAGACTAAAGCTGAGGAAGACTGGATTCAGTTCCTCCTTCTTTCATTCTCTTGCTGGATGACTCTGCGCCTGCAAAGCACCCTCTTCCTTTCCTACGTCACAGAATTGTGGTGAAAATACGATGAGAGGAACTATGTTACATCTTGGAGGAAAAGTGTAATGTAACTATCATCAGACTGTAATGGAATAATATTTGTGAGCTGCCCAGAGTTGTGTTCTTAGATGGGCAGCCATACAGATCTTTTAAATGAATAAATGCATTTATCTATCCAGAGAAGAACTTCTGTGGCATGATTGGGAATTCCTGTCCCCGGGCCCAAAATTCAGGCTTATCCTTAAGCCATCACTTTTCTCCTAGACCATGGCCCTCGCTGATCCTTTTGGGGCCCTGACTTTCTTTCCTGAAAACATGGTTTCTCATTCGTTTACATTCCAAAGAGAGCTAAGAGTTGTGGAGTCCTTGGTGCTCTCTGAGCTTGGTTACTGTTTGCAGACATTTCATTACCCGACTAGGTACCATCATGAGTGCTCATGAGTGTGGGGTTTGCTCCCTGTTTATATATAGAAGCTTGTCCTGCCAGTGTGGGTGGGGTGAGGTTTTTCTCCTTGGTAGTTCCTTGATTAGGGCATTGTTCTCTGCTTGATTGTTTGTCTGGTGTTAATCCCTGCTTATCTGGGTGTTGGTTGCTGGAGAGGATGTGTTTGGATCTTTTTTGTTTCCTTCTTAGCTTTTTGTTGTCTCTCTTGAAAGGTGTGTAAATGTGGTTTATCTCTATGCATCTATTGATGGCTGATCAACAGGGAACAAACCCCACGCTCACTAGCACTGATGATGTTACCTAGCCAGGTAATGAAACAACCAAGCTCAGAGAGCCCCAAGGACTCCACAGTTCAACCCTGAGCTACAAAGATGATCTTCTATTGAGAGCTAAGAGTTGTAGCTATAAACTCCACCCCCTTGATTCTGACCCCACCTACTTCTGGAAGATGGATCTTAGTGGATTTTTGACAGAGCTACATTTTCCCCCACATTATTATTCTGGGTATGAAAAACAGTAGACCCAGTTTGGAGAAGGACCAGCCATCAGAGGAGGGACCACATCCCTCAGGGCTATAGCAAACAGGTCCACCACCTCTTGGCACAGAAGCTGATAGAAAACAAGCTCAGAATGATCACTCACACAGAGAAGCCACAGCCAGACTCCTCTGAGTTAGAAGCTTTCTGCTGAGTCCCTGTTTGGGGGGTTGGATCCCTCTGGCCATGCATTTGTCAAATCCAACAGAAACCAAGTGGAGTGGGAATAACAGTGGGGGGTCAGGGCAGAGATGCAGCAGAGCAGCCTACTTGGGTAAAAAAGGAGTTTGGGGATTCAGACAATTTAATCTTCGAAGCTGAGTTTGGATCCTCTGTTTTAAGTGGACAGAAGGGGAACTAAAACTGTGGGATCCAAATACATAGTATTTGGAGTTTTCACTTCTGCTAAGAGAGATAAGCTGATCTCTCATAGCTATCAATAACTATCCTACAGCAGGTCCTCAGAGTTTCAGATAGAGAGAGGTACACCATCAGTTGTGACTTGATCACTTTTATCGGCATTTGCCATAAATTAAACCAGGAACCATCAGCATACGAGCAGGAGCTTGACCACTGAACTAACGCCGATTTTCAGCCGTCAAAGCTTTTTCTCAGAAAATCTCCCCTCTTTTACCTCCAGTAATCCTCTGATGATCGGCAAACTAATTTCCCAGCAAATTAGTCAGCGCTGCCTCTCCCCACTTCCATATTCTGTAGAATAGCTGGGGAATTCTGAGAGTTGAAGTCCACATGTCTTAAAGTTGCCAAGTTTGAGAAACACTGGTCGACGGTTTCATTTGCCAAATGCTTACCTGCTCTGCATCCGAGACCTGGGGACTGTTCAGGGGTGTACTGCTGACTCCTGCAACACCAACAACTGGAGATCCTCCTGTGGTTTCAGCCTGGCCAGGGCCTTGAGGCACTGCAAACCCATCCTCCACGTCTGACAAGCTTTTCTCCTGGAGCATTTCCTGAAAGCGAAAAAGCAAATTGGTGTTAATCCATTTGCCGCTGTCCAGATTACACTCAGCAAAAGAGATTTTGCACATTTCCTTCAAAGTGAAATCAGTCAAGGTTTTGCTCTTGACCCATCTGTTTTTGAGTGGACAGCCCCTGGCCTGGGGAAGATGAGGACACGGTTGCACCTCCCTGCTCTAACGCAACAATGATTTAGCATTTACAGTAGATTGTTTCTTTCTCCCAGGATGGCTGAATCCAGAAAATTGGCACATTAAGTGTTCCTTTCCAAAAGGAAAATGAGTTTGGTCTGTTGTAGCAGAAACAGAAGCTTTGAAGGAAATTGAGGGCTTTGGTTCATGATCTGATTTGGAAGTCTTAACTTTCCCCCAACTTTCCAAGTCCAGGTACAAGGAAGAAAGTCTCTGCTGTTCGGCTCCTGAAGACCACAACACTGTTAGAACTGTCCTTTTTCTCCAGGGGTATCTGCAAAGGGGGTCCAAAAGGCCAAAAGGGTGGGTGTACCTGTAAGATTGCAGCCCACCTCTTTTTCTGTGAAATGCATGGAGGGGAGAAAGCTGGGGCTTCCATTGCACAGGTACGCCCACCATCTTGGCTCTTTTGACCCTTCCTACGAACCAGCTTACTGTTTCCCATCTTGATTTCAGTTGTTCATTTCTGATGGAAGGGAAAACTCTCTCCCATCCATGGAAAGTACTCTTGGAAATTTCCCAGGGCTGCCAATTTGGGCATGAAGGAAGGAGATGATGTTCTTTGGATTAAAATCTGAGCCCGCAAAATTCTTGGCTCACCATGCGTGTCTTGTAGTCGAGGGAAGCATGACAAATCACGGAAATTCTCCTTTCTCAGGCAGGAAATACGAAAATCAGCAGAGCCCCTTACGAAAAGTATAACCGAATTGTGATAGAAATTTGCTGTGAGTGGGAGCCAACTTTATTGGCAGGGAAAACCACTTCTTGTCACGACGACTTTATTACAAAGCGCGTTGCTCCAAGGTGGACGAATGGACCTTCCCCGTTTTTATCACACTTGCCGCATATAAAACCTTGGAGGCCTGGCTGCTGAGGGCCTGCTTTATTTATTTATTTTAAATAACTGCAGCCCACCCACTGCCCAGATGATCTCATGGCAGTTGCACTCCATAAAATAAGCCAGGGTAAACAACAAAGCCAAATAAAAGAGATAGTGATTTAAACAAATAATAATCAAAGAATCATAACCAGCAGCAACATTGATGGAGGCAGAGGCAGGGGCAGGCTGGGGATGCAAAGTCACAAATATGACCATAAAAAGCCAGATCTGGTGCTGAAAGGCAGATAATGCAAAGAGCAGCCTGGCCAGCAGGAAAAGAAGGCACCAATGCCAAGGTGCCAATGTAAAGAAGACCCTGTGGTGCATCCCAAGTCTTCTCAGGGCTCTGGGACACTGTGTAAGGTCTGTCTTCAGAACTCAGTACAGGTAGCCCTCAACTTACGACCACAATTGGGACTAGAACTTCCATCGCTAAGTGATGTGGTCATTAAGTGAATCACACCCAATTTTATGACCTTTTTTGCCACAGTTGTTAAGCGAATCATGCAGCCATTAAGCTAATCTGGCTTCCCCCATTGACTTTGCTTGTTGGAAGCCCCCTGGGAAGGTTGCAAATGGCAATCATGTGACCCTGGGACACTGCAAACATCATAAATACATGCCAGTTGCCAAGCACCCAATTTTGATCATGTGACCACAGGGATACTGCGACAGTCATATGTGCGAGAACTGGTCGCAAGTCACTTTTTTCAGGGCTGTCATAATTTTGAATGGTTCTTAAACAAATGGTTGTAAGTTGAGGACTACCTGTATATGAGCAGATTCACACAAGGAGATGCATTCCGTTAAGTATGAGTTCTTGAACGATGAAACAGTTCCCAGGGAACAGATAAGCTAGCAACAAACATTATGATCTCTTATGATTCATTCACTTACTATTACTTCTCCAAGAATATAATTCCACTTTTTCTTATCAGAATCCTGCGGAACATCATTCCTCTGGAGGTCAGATTGGTCCCAACCCTGCTGGCCTTTTGCAAGGGCCTGAAAACATGGCTTTGCCAATGGGCATGGGAACCCAGAAGTGTGGTACAGTGGCCGTACTGAGAGTTTTAATGAAAGCTGTGCACCTTGGCTGTGCATATTATGTATTTTATGATGGCTTGTACATGCTTTTGATGTATTTGGGGGGGGGTTGTAATTGTTGTACTGTTTTTATACTTCTTTGAACTGTTTGCAAGCTGCCCAGAATCATATATGGGAGATGGGCAGCCATATACATTTGAAGAATAAATAAACAAATAAAAACAAGGTAAGGCTGTGGGTCCAGCTGAACATCTGTTTATGCTACTGCAGTGAAGGGGCACGGGGATGGAGAGAATCCCATTCCAAGGAGTTCAGATGCTGAAAGGGTTAAAGAAAAAAAGACCCCTGGAGCAGATAAGTGGGTGGAGACATCAGAAGCCTGTGAACCTCAAACTCTGAAGAACCAATCAGAAGCCAGAAGCCTCAGGTGAGCTTTTAAAAGTGGGGGGGCTGGTTTCATTCTGCTTTTTCTCTTTTGCCTTTGTTCCATTTGGACTTCTTCCATAGGACTGGGTGAAGGAAGCCCCAACCCCATACTTTACATCAGTGTTTTTCAACCTTGGCAACTTTAAGACATATGGACTTCAACTTCCCAAAATCTTCCCCCCAACCCCGTCGGTTGGGGGTCTTATGGGGGGGGGAGAGTTCAGTTTTTTTTGGTGGTGTGCATAGAAAAAACTGATGAGATA